TGCTGTTTGCCCTAGCATCAACACAGGGTTTGGAGGTGTGGGGCAGGGGGGCTGCCGGGGATTAAGTTTGCGGTTTAGGGCTTAGGGCATCGGGTTTTTATAAAGACACATACCGAATAAATACTTGTCATAGGTATCCCCAAACCCGAACCCTCAAACCCTACAAAAGCCTTCAAAATGACGATAGTCCTTAAGGACGAAATCAACCCTAACCGGGACCAGGTTCATATGCCATACAGGGATTCGTAGTTTACGGGCAAAAAGAGCCCCTACTTGTGCGGGTCATCGGGCCCGCGAGGGTATAGGACGCCGTAATAACAACCCCTAAGGGTCCATGTACCCATATAGAGATACATGAGCCCCAAAGTACCTATATAGGGACTACATTAAGGCCAATGTATATACTATATGAGTACATGGACCCTTAGGGAACCGGGTCTGCTGAACCCAAGGTCGGCATTGAAACTCTTAGCAGTCTTGGCCCTACAGTAAACCGTGAGGGCATTCAACTCGGGGATTTAGGAGTTCTGAGTTCATGAGGGTTGAGGGTAGGGTACAGGAGTGTAGTTCGGGTTTGGTGCTGTTTCGTTAGTGTTTGCTTTTTGGCTGTAAATCGGAAATTTTCTTGTTTGAAGACGATCTCATCGCTGCTGGTCGTTGTACTTCTGTGTGTTACATGGGTGCTTGTTTATAGGGTGTCGCTCTTGGTTTGAATCCTGAGTTTCGCACTGTTTGGGTTTGGGCTGCCCCAACCGCTGAACCCAAAACCCAATCTCACCCCTAAACCCTGAACCCTAAACTCGAGCACCTAACCCTAAACACTAAACGCTAGCAACTAATAAACCCTCCACACCCTAATCTTAAACCCTTACTAAAGTGAATTTTCAATATCGGCTCTGAATCAAAGGCGACCTCTGGTGGGGCTTTTCGCTTAGGGTTCTTATGGGTTTACAGTGAGGGCCTAGGGCCCAAGGGCTGGGAGCTTGTCTTTTAGGGCCTGGGTTCAGGGTTTAGGGTTCGGAGTTTTGCTGGTTAGGTTGGGCTCTGTGCTGCTTGACTCGGAAGCTCGAACGATTCTCAAACCTAAACCCTAAATCCCTAAACCCTACATCCCTAAACCCTACATCCCTAAACCCTAAACCCCTAAACCTCAACATGATAATTCCGTTTTGCCAACCCCTAAACCCTAAGGTAAAAGCCAGAAAGTTGGAATATGATTATCCTAACCCTTCTATGGTAAATTATAGGGTATCCTACCATGAAACCATACTCCAACTTTCTGGAGTTCCCTGTAAGATTCTCTCCGACCTCCTGAGCTTTGGCCTTTGTTTAGTACACAACTCCCAGTCGCAGGGAGCCCTTGTAGCTATAGCCCTCTGCATCAAAACAAATGGACAGCACAAGACTCACCCAAACACTCTCTCTGTCTTTATATATATATATATATACGTGTACACGCACACACACACACACACACATCTGTACTGATATCAACGCGCAAAGATGGATATATATATATATATATATATACATATATATATATATATGTATACATGCAGATCTATATCTGTGTGTTGTGTGTGTATATGTTTTTTTGGAAGGCCAACCCAACCTGCTGCAACCGTGACCGGTCGGGAATCTGTGTCCGACCCCAGGTAGACTTAAGGTTCCCACTCCTGGGGTTGGCGTTTCGTGTTTAATACGGTTTAGAGTTTAGGGTTTAGGGTTTAGAGTTTAGGGTTTAGGGTTTAGGGTTTAGGGTTTTGTAAGCCTCTTGTGGCATGTGGGGGCAGTGCTGCAAAGGGGCAGGGTGGAAGCCATGTGGGGAAGGCTCATGCAGGACCTTGTAAGCTGGTTTTCCCCCGAAGCCTTACGTGTACATTCTGAAATCTGAGTCCGACTTCCTGCCGCAACAGAGCTGAACATAGCGGGATAAAGAGGCATATCGTCAAGCAAGTTAGCGATAGCTGCATCGTGGTATGCATTCATAATCCCAGCCGAAGGTGAAGCAACCCACCCTAAAGTCCTAAACCCTAAACTCTAAAGCCCTGAACCCTGAAACTAAATGCCTAAAACCCTAAACCCCTAAACCCCTACGGAAGCCTGAAACGACTGACAAGGCCTGAGATCTGGCGTCGGGTGGATCGCAGTGAACTTAAGCTACGCAGGTCTTCCCCGCGCTATTTCAGGGGCCTTAATAATTACCTGTACTAGGGTTCCTTTAAAGGGGTTTAGAAGGGCTACCATGGGGGCTAGCCTAAGGATTCAGTATAGCGGCCTGAATAAATGCCTATCCTTTTTGGTGGGGTTCCTTATTATAACTATAGCATAATATACCCCCAAACCCCATTCTAATATATTAATCTAAAGACATGGCCCTATATTGCTCTTGAATGTCCCAGCTGGACTTGACCCCCAAAAAGGGGGTAGAGGGTTGAATTTCGGGACAGGGTTCAGAGGTGCGGGTTTCCCAAGGTCTGTGTTCGACCCCTTGCAGCCTGCATCCTAATCCCTACCCCGTGAGCCTCCAATCCTGAAACCGTAGATCCCTAAACCCTAAATCCCTAAACCCTACACCCCAAACCCCTAAACCCTCCACCCTAAACCCTTTTACACCCTAACCCTACACCCTAAACACCCCAAACACCCTAAGCCCTGCACCCTAAACCCTATACACCCTGACCCTACACCCTAAACACCCTAAACACCCTAAACCCTATACACCCTAAGCACCCTCAACACCCTACACCCTAAACACCTTAAACCCCCAAACCCTACACCCTGAACCCTATACACCCTAAACTACCCTACACCCTAAACGCCCTAAAGGGCCCAGTCCTCCCATCCACAGCCTCGCAGAATCATATAGTACGTACTTAGGCCTTAAAGTACCTACTTAGGGACCCCTTTAAGGCTTAAGCATCTACTATAACGGTACATGGAGCCTTTTTGGGTTGCAGCCAGGCTTGGAATTCGTGAACCGCAACGTGGTTCTTGTCGTATCGCTGGGCACGACGCATAGCGGCGTTACGGTTTAAGCTGTTTCAGGCGGCTCCATGTGACTTCTGCTGTAATCTCACTTTACCTCTGCAGCCTCCCATCCTCGAGCATTAGAGCTATATATAGCGCTAGTATGATTACAGACATAAATCATCAAACTCTGCTGTTGTGGGGGAGACATGTTGCTGGCGAGTCCCCGTGGCTGCTGCTAGAAAGCGGGTTTTTTTCCTATTGATGTTCGGAATGTGTTTTTCTCACAACAACTGGCTGGATGCGTTGAAGGTGTGAGATGTTGTTGTCGATGTTTGTGGAATGGTCATTTTCATAGTCAGGCACCTGGTTTCAATATGACTGTCCGTACGATTACTGCTCGCCTTGACTTGTGTTTTCGTCCTTGCTGCGGCTTGAAGTGCAAATGCTGTCGCTGTTGCTGTTGTGGTCGTTGTCGTTGTTGCTTTCGTTGTCATCGCAGTTCAATGGGTCAGTGTTGAACAGTTCTAGGGCTAAGGGTGTACGGCTGCAGCTGAACAATTTTCATAAGTCTGAAGCCTGTCCGTTTAAAGTTGAAGCCACTTGTAGGCGACTGCACAGATTATACTTATGACTTATGAGTGCTATCCTGTCAGATTTCAAGGATAAATCAGACTTAAAGCATCAAGTCAACATCGATGTGCGGTCTGGTTTAGGGGTTTAGGGTTTAGGGAGTGATATTGGAGTCGCAACTTACTGCAGATGTTCACAACAACCCTACTTTAGGACCGCGCACATGTGCCTGCGATAAGGACCGTGCTTCTCTTCAAGGCTCCTCAGTGCTATGCGCCTGGTGCCTCAGGTCTACACCAACTCTTCAGAGATCAGGATTATATTAGGTAAGAGTATACAGGGACGAGAGGGGCGGGGGCTGAGGGGGGGTGGGGTGGGGGCGCTTGGGGTTTGGGGTTCTAGGATATCGGGCTTGAGGGTTTCCGAGTTCACGATTTAGGGTTTCAGGGCTCCGAGCGTCTGGCTTTCTGTGATCTTGAGCTCGTTGTCTTTCGTATCCATGTTTTGGATGAGAAGGAAGGCAGACGCTTTTACCAATCAATATCAATGTTTATGCTGACTCGAAGGCCGCTGTTCACTGAATTCAATCATGTGGGAGTTTCCGAAAATTCGGGGGTACCTTATTTTGGGGTCCTTGTAATAGTGATCCTACTATATTGTAGGGTACGATATTAGGGTCCCTGTTTTCGGAAACTCCCATGTTGCAGATGACAAACGTTGGTCGGCTAGTATTGTGGCATAAAGTCTTCTGGGGTAGATGGCTTTTGTATTGTCGGTGAGCCGCTAGTGCTGCTGCTGTATTGTGTTGGAGGTCGAAGAATCCGTAGTCTTCTGATCTTGGCAATTCCGATCATTTTCGGGTATACACGTACGTCATGACTTGCTATCTCACTCTCTACTCTCTCTACTCTCCGTACTCTATACATGCACAGATGAGGTTTTGTAGATGTATCATATAGCATATATAACATTTACATATACCTATGTTATATGTGTATATGTGTGTGTGTGTGTACGCACAGCTTTAACAAGTTACGATCTGCATCTCGCCCCGGGCGGCTCAAGCTATTCTCCTGCTTCCGTGTCGAAGCACGAAGTAGCCTCGCCTCCCCTTCCGGTGGTTTCAGAAAACAGTGCACCCCTGGTAGAGAATCCTACACATGTTAGGGTCATATGTCGAAGCTTTTTTAAAAACAACACAGAAGTCTGAATAGTATGAGCCGAACTATCAGGCGAAGAGCCCTGAATATTAGGATCTCTGTTACAAGGCTCATACAGTTAAAGGGAGGGGTTCACGGTTTCTGAGCCCGAATTCCCAAACTCCTCGGCTGCTAAGCCCTAAACCCCTAAACCTAAACCCTAAAACCCTAAGCCTTAAACCTTAAATCAGCAAGCCCCCAAACCCTTCAGAACCCCTAAACCCTAAACCTTAAACTGCCGGGATTCACTGTTGCTGAATGCTGCGAGTGCTTCGCGTCTCCGGCACAGAGGTGGCCGTATTGGAAAACCTCGAAACTTAGCAGACGAGCTGGCAAGCTTCACATTTGGGGACAGTCAGGTAGGTATATGTGTACGTAAATACCACGACTCATGTGTATATATATATATATACATACATACATATGTCTGCATATACTTACATGCAAACATGTGTACATATGTATATATATATATATACATATAACTACATCTATCTATCTATCTATCTATCTGTATATATATATATATATATATATATATATCCTCCGAAACTGAGGAGGCCGAAGGGATAACGGATGTCAGAAGCCTGAAGCGTTACTGGCGGGCACTTTTGGCATAGTTTTACAGTGCTTCTACTGTAACTATATTCCTTTATGTTCTTATGTTCTTATAACGTAACTATATCCCTTTATGTTCTCATGTTTTTATAGAGGCAATTTTTCACAAATAATATCGGGAGCCCTTGCCTTACTTACATGACAGCCCCAGGTTACCTCGAGCCGCGCTGCTCGGCCACGCGTTTCCGCCAACGGCTGGTGAAGGATCAGGTTGGCACTCTCGACGACGCGGAGCTGCTCAGTGCGCGCTTGACGCTGCAATTGATCCTTGTCCCATTCACGTCTGCTTCAAGGCAGGAGGTGGATGAGCTACTTTCTGCGGCGAAAGACGGGTGGAGTGGGCAAGCGGAGCAGATCCTGCAACGGCCGCAAGATCCAAATGTCACGAGCGATGATGCTGGAAGCCTGGACCTTGCTGTTGCAAAGCCTTTGTAGCTGTACTTGTCACAAGTAGTTGCAGTCGTTCTCACATGCATGCGCTTCTGACGGAGGGACAGCTAAGCCCTAAACCCTAAACCCGCAGCTAAGGACATATGCCGTTGCATCTGGCCGCACAGGGGGGGCATCTAGAAGTCGCAAGGCTCCTCTTGGAAGGGGGAGCCCGCAAGGACCTCCTCAGCCGCGTTGCCCCCCTCGATGCCCCCATGCACCTTGCCGCCCTCTGCAACCGCGCCGAGATCATCCAAGAGCTGCTGGAATGGGGCGATATCCCGGACCGCCTTAATGGCTTGAGAAGCTTGGTTGTGGGTTTAGGGTTTAGGGTTTAGGGTGCAATTGAAGCAGGGTTTAGTGTTTCGGTGTTTGAGGCTTTATAGGCGTTCGGTCTTTAAGTTTGGTTGACCTCAACTTGGCTTGCCTTGCTTACAACTTCGAAGCAAGGGACCTGGCAATGACCTCGGAATCGAGTGTTATATCAGGGAGTATCATTATCACCATTATTGTTATTAGCATTATCAGCATCCTCAGTATTAGTTGTAGTGATACCATTTAACTATTGTCATGGGCAGTGTTATTGTTATTTGCTATTATTGGTATATTTTTGGTTCTTTTATTTTTGCTCTAACTACAGTTAGTGTTCCGGTTGTTGTTCTGATTATCTCCTCATCCTTATTTCTGTTCTTGTCATTGTCCTTAGTCTTAGTATTCTGCTTATCCTTATTCTTTTTACTGTTCTTGTTCTTTTCCTAAAAAATATTGCTGTTCTGGTTCTGGTTCTTGTTCTTAGTCTTAGTCTTCTCATTATCCTTCTCCTTATTTCTGATCTTATTAGTCTTAGCCTTAGCCTCAGCCTTGGTCCTAGTCTTCTTCTTATTCGTATTCTTATCCTTGTTCCTATTCCTATTCTTATTCTTGGGCTTATGCTTATCCCTACCCTTATCCTTGTGCTTGTTCTTGTCCTTGTCCTTATCCTTATCCTTGTGCTCGTTGTGGTCGCTGTCGTACTGGTTATTATTATTATTATTATTATTATTGTTTTTGGTGTTGGCGGTGGCAATAGAAGTAGTGGACCCGACACCCGAGGAATGACGGCGCTGCACATTTCGGCCGAGCACGGCCACCTCCCCGTGGCTCGATGTTTGATCCGAGGACTGGCCGATGTGAATCGCGTTTTTGCTGGTTATGCGACGCCATATAGCCTGGCCAAGGATGCTTGGGCTTTATTGGGCCTACACCCTAAACCTTTAGCTGAAAGTTTAGGGTTTAGGGTGCAATTCAGGGTTGAAGTTCTGTGCTTTAGATACGTTGTTTCCAACCTAGCATGCAGGCCATGAAGGTGCCGAAAAGTCCCACCCCAAAGCCAGGCCATAATATAGGGGCCTAAATCATTTCCAACACTGTTTTTTTTGAGGGGGTCCTTGCTAGAATCATAGTATAATGAACCCCAAAAGCCCTATTCTAACTATTCAGGCCCCGACATTAAACCTAACACCGCCCTTATGGGATCCTTTAACGAATCAGTTCGGAGCTTGATGCCTGAGCCCCGGAAACCCTAAGCCCTAATTTAGGGGTCGGCGAAATTTGTACTCGCATCCCTCCATAGTCCCTCGAGCCCTTGATCATTGCAGCAGAATGCGCCTAAAGCCCTATTCTAGTTATGATGGCCCACAGCGTGCCGCGACCTGGTGGCTTGGAAAGGGACCCCACTCTTTTCGCAGGGACCATGAGCTGTCTTTAGCGCTGCATAATTTCTTGTTCAGGCTTGTTTAGGTGGTGATTTTGGTGGTCTAAGACCTGTACCCTGAATAACCTACGGTTTTCGAGACTTATATATGGAAATCATAACAAGGAGCCCTAAAATGGAAGATTCTTCAGAGGTGTAAGTAGGCTAACTATACTTATAACCCGTATTAGGGGCCTGGTGACCCCCACTTATAGCTACCTTAAGCCCTAAACCCTAAAACCCTCAACCCTAAAACCCTACAGAACCCTTTAAAGGGACACTTGAAGGAACCCTTATACTTACCCCTGACCGTCTAACTAGGTGGGGGTGAGGTTCGGCCTGCAGTTTCGAAGTGGAGGCCAAGGCTCTTCAGCCTAAGGGATTTAAGGTTAAGGGGTTTAGGGATTTCGGGTTTTGGGTTCAGGGGTTTAGGGTTTAGGGGTTTGAGGTTCAGGGGTTTCGGGTTTAGGGGTTTGGGGTTTAGGGTTTAGGGGCTTGGGGCCTTATGTGGAAGTACTTCGACCCCCCAACTACCCTATTCAGGACAATAAGGGCTCCATTAAAAGGGCCATTGGGGGGTCCAAGTAGCAGTGTTTTTCCAAAAAGGGTTCAGGGTTTAGGTTAATGTGTGGTTCTAGGGTGTTCGGGTTCAGAGCTAAGGGTTTAGGGTTTGTACACCGGTAGAGACGGTCGACTAAGGAAGGGTGGCACATCGATATGCAGCAGTTGCTCGTGCAAGCTGGCGCGGACCGAAACTTGCATCTCACTTTGAACCCTGATGACGACGACTAGATCTGCTCAGCGTAAGGGGGTGGCGCTCGTTCAGCATGCTAGGCTCTAAGATGCAGTTCGCCGATCCTGAAGAACGAGGGCCACAGACACCATAGCAACTTTAGTCCGAGCAGTGTAGAGGAAAAGGTTCAGCCAGTATAGAAGCATGACCAGTTACCTATTCTTGATTAGGGCTCCTGGCTCCTTAGGAAAATTATGTCATAGTGTAACCGAAACCCTGTTCTAACTATGAGAACCCTATATTGCTTCATAAACTCCGCCTCTGAGGGTTTGAGGTAGAGCCTGCAGAATCGAGCGCCACTCTCGAATTCGTGCCCCTCCCTCCGTGCAAGACACTGAGCCTAGTCGTCCCGAGCGGGCGCTCCGAAACTCCAGACCACGACAATTTAAGGAGACTAGCACGCCTAGGAGCTTAAAGTTTTGTGCTGCGGGCGTAGGGTTTTGGCCTTCAGGTAAATAGTAAAGAGTTAAGGGACTAGAGTTCGGGTTGTAGGGTCGGTTATAGTGTAGGGTGTAGGCTTAAGCTTCTGAGCACAAGGCCCTGGCCATAAGCCCGCCGCACTTACAACGAACCCCTAGATCGTACCCACAAACACTTTAATCAAGCCGGTCATGTAGGAACCTGATGAAGAAACCCTGGGCCCCCAACCCCAAAACAATAGGATTTCATACAAGGAACCTTAATAAAGGCCCAAGGTTTCTGAATCAGGTTGCTAGATTAGTTTGCAACCCCTACCACCAAACCCTACACTTATGAAGCCCCCAGGTCCTGAACCCTGCAAACCGCGATGCAGCCCCCTAGGAACCCCGATCCCCGACAGATGCGATGCTAATAGGGGAGCTCGTAATAACGAGAATCGTGTTTTGGCGTATATGGCAGTACTGGCAGAACATATAAGACATGATAGTCGCAATCAGGCCTTTATATACACTCCAAAACTTCTAGAACCTCAAACCTTGAGCCTAAACCGACCACCTGCTCGACAATGCTTGACTTTTCAAACCCAACACCCAACAACCCTGGCCCACAACTCCCACATGCGGACAACGTCTAAACCGTAGCGCCAAAACTGTTACCCCTCAACCGCTTACGCCGAAAGCCCCAAACCCCAAACCAAAAGCATGAATTTCCAAAGTACGATATTTTTGTATGTGGTCTTCGGGCCCCCAAAACCAAAAGCAATACACAGTCTCGCATTCATCAGGCAGTTTTAGTTGAAAAGTCTGTGGAGGGCCACCGGTCAAGAACGAAATGATGACTAAGTGTTGGCTTTCCGCATGTGGGTTTCAGCATTTTCAAGTTGCCCGTTGAGATTTGCGAGCTTGCTGTGCTCCCAGGGAGGGTGGTCCGATATGCTGCAAGGCATCCCTTTTTTGTTGTGTTTCTCGGCTTTCCCGTTTGGGTGGATTTGCCATTTTGTTGCTCGACCTTACTTTCCGAAGCCTTAACCGCCTTAACCCTCCCGAAGAAAGCAAACGAGCAGATAAACAAGCAGCCAAACAATCAAACAACCAGACCAACACACAGACACACGGACGGACGGACGGAGAGTGGGGGCCTGGGCCAGCCCGGGAGATGGCTTCGGTGCCATCCCAGGCCAGTCTGCCAAGAAGAGAAGCAGCGCTTCTCTGAGTGTCTGAGCACTGCCACGCTGCCCGAAGGGCCTGAGCACTGCCACGCTGCCCAAAGGGCCTGAGCAATGCCACGCTGCCCAAAGGGCATGCGCAGAGTTGGCCACTGCAAGGTCTCTGACTAACATAGCGAAGTATTGTCGTTTGTTTGTCCCGGACTTCGCCTTGGCACCCCTGACCACAAAACCTTGCAGCTAAGCATCGCCTTCGTAAAATCCGGGCTAGCGCAGCTAAGCATTGCCATTAGGGCCTTTCTTGACCTCGCACTTGCCATATCCCGGCCTGGCCTAGCACAGCGGTTGTGAGTTAGCAGAGCAGAGCTGCACGTCAGTTTCGGCCATCAACAGACGGCTTTGGAGCCTGACATATAGCAAGTCTGTGAGGCTGTGCTTCCGCTGGGGTTATATAATTTGGCGGCGATGATCAGATGTTATGACATGTTGACTCGACTTTGTAAATTGCATGGCCGCACCAGCCAAGATTCCGTCTAACCCAAACCCCGAAATCCCCGAATGAAAGTAGCATACGTTTGATCAGCATCAGCATCTCATAAAGATACAAAGCACTACATTGAGCCTTGTTGCTTCCAGGTCCCACCCACCGTCAGATTATTTGTAGATGCACGGAGAGCCAGTTCTACCCCACAACCCCAAGTAAAGCAACAGACGCCCGCCAACCCAGCAGCCTGTAGCCGAATCCGCTTCACGAAGGTTGCCAGCGCGGCCAGGGCATCGGTAGTCGTAGGCAAAACGATAGGACAGAGTCCTGGCCTACCATACCCCCACCTAGCAGAATGGAGGGGGGATGGGTACTTTGACTTCATATTTTACCCAGGGTGGGTTAATGTTTTCTTAAGGGGGTTCGGTTGCGGAAGATTAAGTTTGCGCGGCGGCAAAAATAGCTGCAGCCTTAGAGAGATAGGCAAACCCCGTACAAAATTATGGCCCAAATTCCAGAACTAGGAAATGTAATACACCACGACACAAAATATCGATAATCCCCAACATACGTCATGCACTTTTCTAAACAGTCGCAGCCTTAATAAGATAGGCAAATCCCATACAGAACATAGCCGAAATCCCAGATCTAGGCAATATATTACGCCGCGACACAAATTAGGTCATGCACTTTTCTGAACAAAACAATCGCAGCCTCAAAAAGATAGGCAAATTCCATACAGAGCACAGCCACATTCCAAGACATAGGCATTATAATTAATACACCACGACACAAAATGTCAATAATCCCTAACATATGTCATGCACTTTTCTTAACAAAAACAATCGCAGCTTTAAAAAGATAGGCGAATTCCATGCAGAGCACAGCCACATTCCAAAACATAGGCATTATAATTACTACACCACGACACAAAATATCAATAATCCCCAACATACGTCATGCACACTTCTTGACAGAAACAGTCGCAGCCTAAAAAAATTAGACAAATCCCACACAAAACATCGCCGAAATCCCAGAACTAGGAAATATAATACACCACGACGCAAAATGTCAGCAATCCCCAACATACGTCATGCACACGTCTTAACAGAAACAGACGCAGCCTGAAAAAGATAGACAAATCCCATACAGAACATAGCCGAAATTCCAGAACTAAGAAATATAATACGCCACGACGCAAAATATCAACAATCCCCAACATGCATAATGCACTTTTCTTGACAAAAACAGTCGCAGCTTCAAACACATAGGCAAATTCCAGGCAGGGCATAGCCAAATTCCACAAACTAGGCAATATAATACACCACGACGCAAAATATCAATAATCCCCAACATACCTCATGCACGTTTCTTGACACAAACAGTCGCAGCCTCCTTAAGATGGCAAATCCCATACAAAACAAAGCCGAAATCCCAGACCAACCCGAAGCCTCAAGCCCCTAAGCCCGGAGCTTAAGCTCCTGTTCCTTCCTACCGCAACCATTTCCGAATGTCGTGCACAACAAGAGTCAGAGTAACATGGGGGATTCCACGCATTCCCGAACATGGCAAACCCGTCTGGAATCCCCAGACCACACCCGGCGGTTATAATGTATTCTCGACGGGGTGCCTCCCCGAAACGGATGGGTGAGGGTCCGAAGCCGCCAACTCTTGAAAAGTTGCTCAGCAGATGCTGTTGGTAATTGTAGTTATAACAGTTAATGCTAGTTATATATAGTAAAGGCAGTATTATTAATAGTAACACTTCCAAGTTGCAAACGCCATCAGATTATTCGTATACGCACGGAGAACCATAGTGAAAGTTGCAGACAATCACAAACCCATCAGCTCGCAAACGAATTCGCAGCATAAATCTTCAGCGACAACTGGGCAGTTACCACAATCACCAGCCTTGCTTAGGTCAACTAATCCACCACTGAGGCTGCGTAAAGCTCGCTTACGTAATGCTTCTCATTGCCAACATAAACAATTTATCTGGTCGCACTTGCTACGGAAGTGTTGGAAGGCTCAGCTGTGAAGCATAGGCTGTGCGGGTACTGACGTTTTTTCGAATGCGAATGCTGCAGATTTGTTTAACAATCTGCTGGGTTTGTGGATGTCTTCTACTTTAACTATCTATGGTTCTCCTTGCCAATGAAAATAGTCTGTTCGCGCTTGTAACTGGGAAGAATTATAAGGCTCAGAACCAAGGCTGTGCAGTCTTTCAAGACTTGCCGACTTTCGGATGTCACTTTCAGTTGGGGTTTTGGGTTGGCCAGGATTCTGTCCTGTCGTTTTGCCTCTGACTACCGATGCTCTGGAACAGGGTGAGCTTGGACTTTGAACAGGGGTCGTCAGAGCCCCGTACAGGGGCGTACCCGCGCCAAGCCCCAACATAAGGGCTGAGGGATGAAACCCGAACAGGGGTGAGTATGGACCCCGAACAGGGGTCGTGAGAACCCCGAACAGGGGTGCGTCAAGAACCCCGCACAGGGTGAGAAAGCACCCTGAACAGGGTCGCAAAGCACCAAGGAGAGAGAGACAGAAGCAAACACAGCGAAAGTTAAAGAACAGGAAGGAAGAAAGGAAGGAAGGACCGAGGGATGGAGTCCTGTCGAGTCCGAGCGAGACAGAGAGACAGGGAGAGAGAGAGACGGAGATGACAGCGAGAGAAAATGGCCAGGTCGGGGTAGGCGGAGTCCACGTGGTCCATGTCGACGGAGATGATGAACTGCTCCAAGGCTGCCACGGGGAAGTATTCGTGGTGCAGTATCTTCGGCCCTTCCCAGGCGGCGACCACTTAGGTTGATATGCTTTGGACCTTCCCGTGTTCTGTTGTCCAGAGCCCTGGCCTGTTCGCAGTTTCTTGCTGGAGTATATCGTTGGTCTTCGTGAGGTCCGCCATGAGCTCATCCGTGATGGTCGCGAAT